ATCAGGGATCTTATTAAACTCCTTCTGAATCAAACCGTCACGGTAGCCTTACCTTACTTATCCTTCTTAAAATAGGAAAAAACATGTTACTTTACCAGCAGAGAGAAAATGGATTATTAAATGATGAATGACTAATAAAGAGCAGTTTGATTATTAAGTATTATTCTGTTGATGGATGTCATTACATTTGCTGAAAAGCACATAATTACTTGTTTAAGACTCGTTTTGTCAAAGTTTAGGACTTGACTTGGACTTGCCCATCCTGACTTGAGACTTGACTTGGACTTGCAAAACAATGACTTGGTCCCACCTCTGGCTCACAGGCTCCTCCAACAGAGCAACACAATAAAACATATAAAATAGTGCAAGTAAATAGAATAGAATAGAAGTAGTGCCATAAGAGTCTATAACTGAAATGAAGTGAAAAAAGGCAGAGTTGGAGAGGAGCAAAAGACACGGCAGCCATCATCACCGGCGCCATCTTTTCAGCACTTTATACTATGTTATTTTCATTTTCAGATGACGATCGAGATGTACCCGAGCGACCAGGTGGCAGACCTGCGAGCGGAGGTGACTCACTGGTACGAGAACCTGCAGAAGGAGCAGATGAACCAGCAGGCTCAGCTGCAGGAGTTCGGGCAGAGCGGCCGGCAGCCCGCAGACTTCCCAGGTCAGCACCCATTAGATTGTTTATTAACAAACAAACAAACAAACATTTCCCCAACAGCTGTGTGACTCTCGGCATGTCCCCCTACATTTAGAAGTGTGTGTTTTCACTATAGGAGGTCTGATGGGTCCGGTCCGGATGATCTCCTCCGGCCACGAGCTGACCACCGACTACGACGAGAAGACTCTGCACGAGCTCGGCTTCAAAGACATGCAGGTGACTGCCGGCTTTCTGTCCTTCCTACCTCAAAAGACAAGTTTCAACTTTCATTAATACCTCAGAGGAACGTCAGGTGTCACGAGCGATAAGAGTGAAACACAGGATATGAAAAATAAGAGTTCACAGAAGAATATTAAGAATAGAAAATGTAATAAGGAAGAAGGTGTGTATATCGTATTGAGAGAGAGATTGAGAGATTTGTCCGGTAAAATTAATTATTTCCGGACATTTGACCGGCAACAACAAATCCTAGCGGAAACCCATATATATAAAAAATAACAACAACAGCACTAGATAAAACAGTTTACAAGGATACACATATAAATACAAATGAATATTATAAATGTCTGTGAGAAAGTGTGAGTCCAAGTAGTTGCATATTGACATAACAATACAGAAACAACCATTTACAGTTCTGTTGGATACGCTGGTCTACATTTCACCAAATGTTCCAAAGCCTACCTTTTTTTGTTTTGCATTATTTCTAACTATACATCATTTTCACAATACACACAAAATCCAATTTCTTGTACATGTTTAGCTCTTGAAATAATAATAATAATAAGTTAGATTTATATAGCGCTTTCAGGGCACCCAAGCAATGTTCAACCCAGCTGATATCCTACTCTCTCTCCCCAGATGGTGTTCGTGTCTCTGGGCGCTCCTCGCAGGGAGAGGAAGGGGGAGGGCGTGCAGCTGCCGGCCTCCTGCCTGCCCCCCCCCCAGAAGGAGCACATCCCCATGCTGCTCCTCCTGCAGGAGCCGCACCTCACCACGCTGTTCGACCTGCTGGAGATGCTGGCCTGCTTCAAACCTCCCAACCCCAACACGGAGAAGCTCAACGAAAACCCAGAGGTGAGTGTTTTTAAACTTACCTCGGCATGTCAGACTTAAAGTATTCATGGAAGCAACTCATAATGAGGACAACAAGATTATATGAGCTGTGTTATAACATGAAATGTGTGTTTTAGACTTACCTAGCATGTCTGACTTAAAGTATTAAAGGTGTCCTATCATGCAAAATTCACTTTTTGATGTCTTCTATACATAAATATGTGTCCCCGGTGTGTCAGTAAACTTACAAAGTGTCAGAAAATACAACCCTCTCTCTTTTCCTCCGTACCCACATCTCTAAAAACGGAGCTGATCCAGATTTGCGTCCGATATGACGTAATATCTGAAATGTGGACCCGCGGCCCAATCAGAAACGTTGCTATCAGAAACAATGCCCGACTGTTTTGGACGTAATATGGTCGGTGTTTACATTTGGGCGGTTTTGGCGCAGTGGTTAGAGCGTTGGTCATCAGATCAAGGGGCGTTGGTGAACTCCAGTTCGAATCCCGCCTCGGCCGCCACTGCGTCAGGCCGTTGTGTCCTTGGGCAAGACACTTTACTCGCATTCGCTCCTGTGGGTAATGTCCACAGTAATGACTCTTACATGTCTAATATGTGTAATGTGTATTTGTAAAGCGCTTTGAGCACCTGTAAAAGCGCTCTAATAAAAAATGTAATCCATTATTATTA